AGAAAGAGCCAAGCAAGGAAGCGGAAAGAAGAAAGAGAAAAAAAGAAGAAGGCAGCGAAAGCAAAGGCGGACAAAAAGAAAAAAAAAAAGACCGAAGGTGACAAGAAGCAGGATGACAATAAGGCTTCACTCGGGTCCAAAAGCGATCGCAAAACCAAAAAATGAAACGAGCGAGTAAATTATGCCACTTCCAGAAGACAATTTATGGTAAAGAGTCCAGTTTTTACTGCAATAATTTTAGATATTCCGTTCGATATCTATCGAGATAGCGACAATCTTCGAAAGGTGCAATCACGACAAATTTTATATAAATGACGGATGCTATGGAGTATGGTCGACATTTGACATTTTTCCGGAGTCATGGAAACTACAGGGGTATTGTTGCTTGGCTTGTTGGTACTTTTTGTGGTATCGACGAAAGCTGAAACCAATTCTAAAGAGATGGCAGAGTCCGAGGATGCTGCGGGACCATCTCGGTCGGCACCGTACCAACAATTCAAAAGGAAATTTAATCAAGTAATGAACTCCACCTTTTCGTCCTCGAGCGGGAAGAAGACACCGTGGGAAGTAATCCGAAAGCACTGATCCTGAATAACCACTCCGAGAACCTTAAGAAATGCAAATGTAAATCGAATGTAAACGATCGCTAACCGTGAAATAAAATTCTGAAGGTCTGGAAAGATGTGTAGAAATTTAATCCACCTCCCTCTGACAGTGTAGCTATGTTAAGTTGAAAGAATAATGCAAATGTGAGAAAATGTTTCTGGATGAACTGGACAAGTACACGAACCAGCGCGCCGAAAACCAGTTAAATAAACAGCTATTTGCGCCAGCTAAATAAATAAAGGCATTTCAATGGTCTAATCCTCCGTTCGAATTTATGAAATAAATCGGCATGAGCGATAGTAAATAAAAAAGAGCGTGGAAGTAATTTTCTGCAAAGAGTCAAGGCCAAGTCTGCGATGCTCGGCTCGGTAGCGGGAAATTTAAACGTCAAGTGCGTGACGATTTTTTGAAAATCGTGACCAACGAAAGCAAGCTGATAAGTGTCAATTTTAAAGCCTGAGGAAGGAGGGGGAAATTATCGCGGGGGATTGAAAATCGTCGGAAGTGGACATCTAAACCAGTCCTTGTCGGTGCTCGAAGAAACGACCACGCGATGACGCTTTTTTCTCCTGTGGTCTTCATCTTGTTCGCCATTTTGCAGTTCGACCCGAAAGTGACTGCAACTCCGGACGACGATAACCAGGGTACGTCCATCTACCAGGGGGACGCGATTACGGTAGATGAGCATTTGTGGTTGACAAAGACGCGCAATGAACTGTTCGGAAAGATGAACCAGGAGCTGAAGAAATATAGAGAAAACACCGTCATGCAGCTCCAGGTCGCCATCAACAATCAAGGACTCTGCAGTAAACAATGGATGAACGTCGTCGACGAGTACTCGCTGGAGAAGAAACTCGACAAATGCGAGCACGTTCTAAATATGCAAGAGACTTTGTTAAACGCGGCCGTCGAAAATCGAAAAACTGGACTTCTTTACAAATCGCGAAACTTCTAACTCGCCCGAGATTTCCCCCCGTGCGTTCTCATTTTTTTTCCCCTCGGTAAAACAAGTTGTTAAATATAATCATTAATTTCGGGGCGATAAGCTGCAAGAGAACGTTCGGTCCTGCATCTCAAGATACGGGGAAAATCCTAAAAAATGGCTGGGAAAAAAAATATATGGAAGGGCTAAAGAATTATTAATAAATGTAAGATTTAAAGAGCGCGACTCGGTTGATCGGAAAATGTCGGTGGAGAAATTTTACGACCTCTAGGTCGTGACCGCGTGTCAAAATCGCGATAACGCGAGCACGATGATAATTCCAGGAGGATGGTCATAAAGAGTGGGAAGCAAAGTGACATAACCAGTGTCCGGAAAATGTTGAAATGGCTCGGACGTCCGCTCGTTGCTGAAGAGGAATTTTCAGGACGCAGCTCGACTTCCGGTCTGATGCCACTTTTGGCCTTGCTCCTCGTGTTCTGCATCTCCTTGGAGATGCAGCACGTTGCAGCGGATGAAGGTGACACTAACTGGGTCCCCGAAAAGAAAATAGTTTTTGGGAAAATCTACGATTCATCCAAAACAATGTCGAAGCCCATTTCACCCGAAACTCTGGAATGGAGGAAAAAGAAGGTGAAGGAACTCGACGAGGATTCCAAGAGATACCTGAAGACGAACAAGGCGGTCGTCAAACCAAACGTTAGGAAGGATCTGCAGAAAGCCATCAACCTGCAGGGGATATGTCGGACAAATTGGATGCACTTCGCCGACGAAGAGAAGCTGAAGAAGAAGCACGATTACTGCAACCATCTCCTGCGTCGTCAAGAGCTGTACGTCACGATGCTGCTGAAAAAATTCAAGTACGAGGAGAAATACAGCAGAATTCCATTAGCGGATTAGAAAATGAAAATCCATAATTATAGAAGAATTTCGGAAGACCAACTCCGCTGGACTCGGATGCAAATGCAGACGAATGACAACAGAGGTGGCAGGGCCGCGTTGTAAAAATCAATTTACGGTTACGATCTAGGAGGTATTACTTTGCAATATTTTCGAGTACGGAGAGATATACGGATAATAAAGAAGCTTGAAGAAATACATGAGATCCTGAAGAGAGTCCTTTCACCCTCCCCGCTTTCATTCTTCATTTCCTACTAGATTTTCCTCGTTTCTGTTTACAAGAATTTCAACGCTGCTGCAACTAAAGCCAGACGCCATTTTGTGGACATGCGGTGTAAATGAAATTTCATCGTAGAAATTTGTAAAAATAAGGCTATTATGATTTACGCCAGGATAAAATAACAATTATGTGTAATTTATCTAGAGCGATGCAGAAGACACTATCGGGAACCATTCACTCGTGAAATAGATATATGTATCGTCCTTAAAGGATTAATATAAAGATAGACAACAATGGAAAACATTCGTTCTCAGGCAGCAGTAATTTCTGTAGTAGTTCTTAAAAAATCATGAGTTTGTATTAATTTTTCTGGCAGTTTTGGTAGGCTTCCTAGCTGCCAGGATAATGGTAAAAAAAAGTAGTAACAAACATGAGTGTCATAAATAACGCAGAGGCAAGACCCAAATGAATACTCCGGAATGCTTAGAGTGCATTAAAATAAAAAAACCGACACTTGTTATACGCGATACTCCGCGAATTGCGATAAAGACGTTTCCTCGGGATCGGGGTAAAAACACGAATTCGAGATATCGAGGAAGCCGTTAGGTGTAACGACGTCGATTCCCTCGTAAAATGGATACAGGACGAAATGGTCACCAGTAGATTGGTTTAAAGGCCGCCAGATGAAAGACTTCCGCTTCAGAACGGCCGTCATTTTTCCCGGAAGACATTTTCCGGAATCATGAGGTGTATCTGGCTTCCACTAATTTCCCTGGCAGTCTTGGTTTACTTCGTTTCTGCTAGGGCAAAACCTGAAGCGGAAGCTGCACCTGGACCAAAGGCTGAAGCCAAGGCTTTGGCAGATCCCGATGCAGATGCCGAAGCGGAAGCGGAAGCTGGAAAGAATACGGGAAAAACTGCCATCCCCAGGGTGAAACTTCCTAATCCCAGGGTGAAACCCACTAGCCCCAAGGTGACCACTCCTAAGAAACCAAGAACCACTCCAAAACCCAAGATTACTCCACGACCTACGCATAAGACCACTCAAAAACCTACGCAAAGGACTACTCGAAAACCTACGCAAAAGACTACTCGAAAACCTACGCAAGGGACTACTCGAAAACCTACGCAAGGGACTACTCGAAAACCTACGCAAAAGACTACTCGAAAACCTACGCAAAAGACTACTCGAAAACCTACGCAAAGGACTACTCGAAAACCTACACGTAGAACTACTCGAAAACCTCAAACTAAAACGACACCGAGACTTGGATTCGGCGACATCGTGCATAACGTGAAGAACATAACCAAAGCTGGATCTGAAATCGTACAGAACTTAAACGCCACGTTTGGTCCATTGATGAATAAAGATAAGCAAAATAATGAAGGAAACGGAAATTCCACTCAAAATGGAGACGGTGGTAGCACTGGTGATACTAGTCCTCCCGAAAACGAGGAAAAAGGTGGAAACGATGGTGGAGGCGAAAGCGGTGATGGTGGTGACGGAAACGGCGGAAATGATAACGGTGACGGAGGTGATAAAGGAAATGCAGATGCCGGAGAAGGTGGGAATGATGAAGGAGGTAACGGAGAAGGTGGAGAAGGTGGGCAAGATGAAGAAGGTGGAGAAGGGGGAGAAGGTGGAGAAGGTGGAGAAGGTGGAGAAGGCGAAAAAGGCGAAGACGGCGAAGAAGGCGAAGAAGGCGGAGGTGGAAAAGATGGAGAAGGTGGAGAAGGCGAGTAAGGTGAAGACAGTCAAGACGTATAAATCCTAGAAACGCGATTCAGAAAGAGCAGGCCTAAAATATAAGTAGTAAGATAAATTAAGTATACCAAAGGACACCTCCGGAAGAAATTGTTAATTAAATCTCCTAGGAAAGACAATAAAAAAAAATAAACGTTCCCCTCGAGCTATCTTTATGTATCATCCCATGAATTCCTTGCAATTAAAAAACATGATTAAACAGCACTTTCCCTCTTTCTCTCCACATCGGTATTATTAACAGAAAATTCGCAACACTCCCAAATTTCCGTTAAATAATCGTCAAGTAACGGCAAATAAAAATCTCGCAGTTAACGCAAACCGAGCCAACAGGAATGCCCAGAAACAAATGTTCGACTATCGTTTTTAAATAATACACCCGAATAACCTGTAAAATGCATAACAATTGGAAATTAATGCTACGACAAAAAAGTTGTCTCCAAATCATCTGAGACACGAATCCAGACCACGAGGAGGACATTACCCATAACCATATCAACTCGTAAAACGGATAAGTAACGACGTGGTCTTGAGAGAATGGTATAAAGCTCGATGTAGAGCCGTCTCTCCGAATCAGGTGAAATGTCTCTCTAAACCAGAAAACGCACCCGAGGAACATGAGGTACTCCGGACTTCTATTAATTTGTCTGGCAATTTTGGTTTGCCTCGCCGTTGGTTGGGCAAAACCTGCGCCTAAAGCGGAAGCGGAAGCTGAAGCCAAGGCTTTAGCAGTTCCTGAAGCAGATGCCGAAGCAGAAGCAGATGCAAATGCAGCGGGCGCTCCAGAAGCCAAGGCCAGTGCCGAACCAGAACCACCAAGTCCGGGAAAGATAAGAATTCCGAGAGAAAACTTACAAAAGACGTCAGACCTAGGAAAGTTATCAAGGGAAAGGCAATTTCAGAAAAAGCTAAAACCTACTAAAAGACCTAATCCGAGACCGCCAAAACCTTCTAAAAGACCTAATCCGAGACCGTCAAAACCTTCTAAAAGACCTAATCCAAGACCGCCAAAACCTTCTAAAAGACCTAATCCGAGACCGGCAAAACCTTCTAGAAAACCTAAACCAACCCGACGACCTACAAAGAGACCCAGAACGACTAAAAAACCTAGACCGACTCGACGAACTACAAAGAAACCAAGAACTACTAAAAGACCCAGACCGAGTCCGCGACCAACAGAGCCGAAACCAAAAACCACTTCTAGATCACTAGATATCGATATAGACACTCCGTCTCCGGACTACAAGAACTACTACGATACGTATGGCGACGATGAAAACCCCGTAGAACCTGAAGACGGTGAGAAGGATGAAAATTCCGAAGAAGGTGAAGAAGATGAAAACCCCGAAGAAGAGGAAGAAGATGAAAACCTTGACGAAGGTGAGGGGGATGAAAACTCTGAAGAAGGTGAAGAGGATGAAAACGCTGAAGAAGGTGAAGAGGACGAAAACGCTGAAGAAGGAGAGGAAGGTGAAGCCGAAGAAGGAGAAAATGAAGATGCTGCAGACGAAGACGGCGAATCCGAATAAACTTAATGATAAACAAGAATGAAGACTTCCCCATGAAAATTGTTCTTCAAGGTCTAGGGAATCTGTACCATTATGAACGGAAATAAAAATGCATGATTCCCTTATACTGTCTTTATTTCTACCATTAATGGAACGAAGAAGGAGAAAATGAAGATGCTGCAGACGAAGACGGCGAATCCGAATAAACTTAATGATAAACAAGAATGAAGACTTCCCCATGAAAATTGTTCTTCAAGGTCTAGGGAATCTGTACCATTATGAACGGAAATAAAAATGCATGATTCCCTTATACTGTCTTTATTTCTACCATTAATATATAGCGTATATGCCATAACTTGGCCCATGTCCTGAAAGGATTTAGCACTGAAATGTTTAGACACCAAATTTTCCCTTTCCTCCTCATCACAGTTTATGTATGATCAGAAAAAAATCAACCCACCCAAGGCAATGTCCTGAAGATCCTGCGGTGGTAACATGCAACAATACTGACGGCTTCTTGTAAAATCTGGTCAAGTAGTAACGAATAAAGTCAATATATCGAAAACGACCTTATCAGAATATCTGAAATGCTTAAATAAAAAATACGACTGTTATTGCGATATTGCGATACGACTGTTATGCAATATTCTCGGCGTTGAAATTTTTGATAAGCGGGGTTTCGAGACGATTAGAAAGGTCACGAATCCTCCGTCACGAAAGGACCATTACGATTACGTCGTGATTGGAATACGGTCCGATATGGTTAGGAAGAAAGCAATTTAAGCCGTTCCCCGAAGCGAAATTTTTGCTTTCGAAGCGACTGTGACCACTTCCTGAAGAACTCCATCAAGAGCATGAGGTATACCAGACTTTTATTTATTTTTCTGGCGGTTTTGGCCTGCCTTATTGCAGCCAAGGCGAGAGCTACTGCGAATGCTGTGCCCGGACCAAAAGCAGATGCTGATGCCAACGCTTTAGCCGTTGCTGACGCCAACGCCGAAGCCGAAGCCGATGCTGTTGCTGAAGCCGATGCCGTGGCCGAGGCCGATGCCGAAGCCAACGCTGAAGCCGATGCTAATGCTGTTGCCCAGAACAAAAACTCAAAACAAATCAAACCTAAACCTCCACCGCGACCACGACCACGACCGCCCAAACCTACACTAAGACCACGGCCAACCAGAAGACCACGACCAAGCACAAGACCAAAGCCAACCAGAAAACCACGACCAACCAGAAGACCACGACCAACCAAAAGACCAGGGCCAACCAGAAGACCAAGGCCAACTAGGAAACCACGACCGACCAAGAAACCGTGTCCAACCAGAAGACCACGACCTACTCGTCAACCTAAACCAACAAGGCACACCGATATCAACGATTTCATCGATGCCGTGAAGAATTTTTCTGAAGCTGGAAGCGAAATCTCGCAGAACATAAACGATGGAATCCAGCCATGGGTGGACAAGAACAACGCCCAAAATGGAGAATCCGGATCTGGGGGTACAGAAAATGACGAAAACATTGGTCCTGTAGACGGCGAAGAACCTGAAGAGGGTGAAAAAAGCGAAGAAGGTGAAGGCGAAGGCGAAGGGGCAGAAGGTGAAGGCGAAGAAGGGGAAGGTGCAAGTGAAGGTGAAGGTGAAGGCGAAGACGAAGCCGGAGAAGGCGAAGAGGGCGAAGGCGAAGAAGTGGAAGAAGTTGAAGAAGACGTGATCGAAGAAGACGAAGGTGAAAGAGGAGAAGGCGATGAGGTCGAAGGATGAGCCCCAGATTCTGAAGAGGACTCAAAGTATAGGAAGTGGTATTGAAAGTTAGGCCTCATCGCAAAAAATTGTTCTTCAAGGTCTAGAATATCTGAACTATTATAAACTGGAATGAAAAATAAACGCTTCCTTTAAAGCTGTCTTTATTTCTGACATCGCATAACCTCCCTGTAATTAAGCAACAAAATGGATTTATCTTTTTTCTTTCTTTTCAAATCCAGCATGACCATGATGAGTTCGAAACACGCCTGACGTTGAAAAAAGGCTTTTTTAGACTGAGTTCATTTGTATCATCTTATTGGTCCCATTTATTAGGATAGGTAGAAAAGGAAGGACGCATCATTGTCCGACATACCTAATCAATTCTTGATACCCTTTCTACTAGTTCGCAATATTTATTATTTCCTTGCAGAATATCGCGAAAGGGGCCAAACCCCCAAAAATTAGGATATCCAGTTTCGCTTTGATTAAAAAAAGCTTAGAACATCCAAACTCTGAAAACGATCCAGGCACGTCAAAATAAAATCTGAAACGTGGTCGTAATTTTAGGGAATCAGGATTTGATAAAAGTCCACTTTCCCGGATCTACTCTACGTGACCAGGCCATTAATCATAAATATTTGTAAACGACGGTGATACATCCCTGAAGAGTCTCCTCGGAAACATGAAAATCACTGAGCTTTTTCTGATTTCCCTGAAAGTCTTAATCTGCTCTCGGAATTTTTTTCAGCACGGATCCATGATAAGGAAGCAATCGATATGGGCTGATAACAACCCAATAATCGTGCATAGCTAATCGCAAGATGTTCATAAAAAGTGGTCAATGAGGTGTTGGGGTAGTCAATTGTCTGGGGCTGTTGAAAGAGGAAACATGAGGAATCACTTGTTCCTCCTCTTTCTTCTGCCTCTTGTGGTCCAAATAAGACCCATCAGGTCGAGCAGCTGCGATGCACCACCAGACAACAGCAACGAAATCTATATCCAAATAATCGACCTGATATCCGGGGTGGAGCCGAAGTGTCTTAAAACGGACATCACAGACGCCGAATTGATAAACGCCCTCGGGAACAAGGAACTGCTAAGATACATCCAGAGAAATACAAATGTCTCGCCTGCCGAGAAGTCCTGGAATGACTACACGGACGTGGTGGCTTTGCACACGGCAGCAGGTGGAGGTGGCGGTGGACTCCTCAGCACCCTCTTCAGACTCCTCAAGTTTGGCGTGTCAGTAATGGGCACGTATTACATCATGAAGAGGTTGGCCTTAAGATTTGGACTGAGCATGGTGATGGGCACCGTCAGAAAGTTCTTCACGAAGACAGGCCTGAAGATGCTGCGAAGGTTCGGCTCGAAGAAGTGGTCGAAGATGAGGTTTAAGCGACTGAAGCGACTCAGGATCAAGAGGAAGAAGATGAAGCAGAACAAGGACCAGGAGACGAAACAGAACAAGGACAAGATGAATCAGCGAAGCTTGGAAACGCTGGATGATTTCTACAACCAGTACTCGGACGAGAACGACGAAGACAACGAGGATGCTGAAGAATACAGCGAGGAAGAAGGCTCCGGGTATGAAGATGTAGACTCCAATGAAAGTTACAATGCAAACTCTGAAGAAGACGCGGACCAGGTGTATACGAATTCGGATGAGGATGCCGAAGACGGTGGAAAAGGGAACGAGGATGAGGAGAACGAGAACGCCATCACCACGGTTGTAAATTCCATCAACCACAACGTCGCCATGAAGGAGGACCTGATGAAGACGAGCTTCCAACAGAAGATCAGGTGCATTCGATCCGTTGCTAAACTGACGTATGTAGAGGAGATGGAGAAGAAGGCCAGAGAATGCATCGACCTGATCGTCCAGGAAAAGGCCCTGGTAAGGGAGATGAAGAACTATATCGCGAAGATTTTCGTAACCACGAAGGAGATATGCGAGAAAATTATGAGCAAGATTACGGATACAGATGTGCTGGATCAGGCTATCAAGGACACGTGCTTAATTAATGGTTAATCTCTTTTCAATCGATTGTTATATATACACCTTTCGGTAATTTAATAAAAATTGATGACGAAATTCCCCTATTTTGTTATTTGAATTTTCGACCCAGGTTCCCTCCACTCCTCAATGTCCATGTTTTAATCAACGTCAGGGATGCACAAATAGATTTTTAACATATTACACAAATTATCAAATGATCGGTAAATTAAACAAAATAATTTGGATCGATGTGGTCTAGACCAAGATCCTAATACGAGGATGCGAGATAGCATTAGTAACACAAAGTGGTCTGATTAAATAATTTTTTCCAAGTTCTATCATTTTTTAATCAAAATTTAGACACGCGATTTCCTCCGAATCGGCCAAGAATTATTTTCCTTCGCGTGGGAATATAGGAAAATTCCATAAAATTACGAAAACGATACCGGAAGCTGTCCTGGATCAGTAAAAAAACGTGATTCCGAAAATCGTGACGAAGATATGAAAAACGCGGATTTTAATTAAGCTTGAAAATCGAGACCATAGGGAATATAGGAAAATTCCATAAAATTATGAAAACGATATCGGAAGCTCTCCCGGATCTATAAAAAAAAAAGTGATTCCGGAAATCGTGACGAGGATATTAAAAACGCGGATGTTGATAAAGCTTGAAAATCGGGACCAGGGAATTCGGAGCGATAAGGATGACACGATTTTTGCGGCATTAAAGAAGTCGCCGCCGAGGCTAACTTCAGGAAGTGTCGAGAAGACGTCACAACCATGAAGTACAGTAGACTAATTTTAATTTGTCTGGCCCTGTTGGTCGCCTTTGTCGCGGCCTCTCCAAGAGCAGCCCCAGAAGCGGTCGCGGAAGCCAAAGCTGAAGCTGAGGCCGAAGCTGAAGCGAAAGCAGTAGCAGAAGCCGACCCTGAAGCCGTAGCCGAAGCCGAAGCGGCCCCTGATGCGGACCCTGGAGCCCTGGCCGAGGCCGAAGCAAGTCCCAAAGTCAAAAAGAGTAACGTGCTCAAACAGATAGTAAAGACGAAAACGCCAAAGAGGAAATTTAAACTCCGAAGAACAAACAGACGCAGAAAAGTATCCAGGAGGAGAAGGAGAAGGCGAGGGCCGAAAAAGACCACCTTGAACCAGCGACTCCGAAAACTGAGAAAAGCCAGCAGCGACGCGAAGGACATTGCAGACAATCTGGAGAGCATAGCTACGTCGATAAATGACGCAGTTAACGGGCCATCTGAAGATGACGAAGAAGAGGACGAGACCGTGTACGACGACGCAGATGAGGACGACGGGGAGGATGATGACGACGGCGAGGAGGAGGACGAAGAAGTCGAGGAGGAAGAGGAGGAGTAAATGACTCGAATGCAGTTCGAATTCACGTTTCATGGTCCATTTGTTGATAATAAAGATGTCAAATGTACCATGGGTCTCGTTCCTTATTTTGCATGGTAGTATAAATAGGATGATCTTGGGGTTAACGATCGATATTTAGGTATCGACTGGCGTGACCAAGATCGAGAGATGCAGATGGGAGCTGGTTGGAGCTGGATTAAGTTAAAGACCCTGAAGGGGCGTTTTCTTCACGGCGTCGCTTCGAAGAGATCCAATGAGCGCTCGATCGCCGTCCCATTGTCCCGGTCCTTTCTTCCCGTCCATTTTCCCACTTTCCTGCGACTTCGTGGACGTCACTTTAATTCCAAGTCCCGAACACCTCGGGACCCCCCACGACTCGCGGTAATGAGAATCGTAATAAAGTTCCGCCTCCCTGAAACTCGCGATCCCATCTCGCGCCTCGCCGAAGAGCCGGATCTCCGGGTTTCGGACGCCGATAAACGGCGAGAGAGCTAAATCGAGAAGAACCGAGGTAAACTCATCAGAGAAAACGTTAATGACTCGAAGTAGCCCGACGGGAAGTCACTTCCACGTGACAAGACCCAGTTAAGGATGCACCGATACAGACAATACCTTCATTTCGAATATCTTGATAATCCCAGACCCTCCAAAAACCTAAAAAATCCAGAAACTAGGAAAAACCAACACGCGTCCTATCCATCGAAGCTGCAAATTTCCGAATTTCCAAATTTATTTCCGGCACAAACACCGCCACCCAACCGCCCCCTCTTCCTGGACCTCGGGCATTGTTCACCGATCGCGCGAATCGCTGTTCGCGACAATGATCGATCGATCGCTCCCCCGCCCCGGCCCACTCTCCCATTTCGAGGTCCGAGTGTCCTCGGGAAATTAAAAGCCCGAGTGAAATCGCTAAAAAATTAAAATCCCCCCCACGCATCGAGAATAACAAACCTGGGTATAAAATCGTACCGAGAACCGTGCGCGAACGCGCCGCAGAAAATGGAAAAAGTTAATCTCGCAAGGACACGAAGAGAGAGCCCGACGCACGCACCGCAGTCAGCCGCCCTCTTTGGCCAATTTCCAAATGACCGAATGGACGTTTCTCCCTTTATTTCGAATCCCAGATTTTTCGAAAACGTCGATCGGCAACATATCGGCGATTCGAGCGCACCGGAAGTGTGTGCGGACACTCGAGACGAAGTGTGGGAGACAGGGTGCAGGGGATGTACGCAGGATACCCGGTTAAACCACCGAGAGCACCGAGAGAGCACCGAGAGCGCCCAGAACCCGCTTCCAACGGGCGATGGTCCAAATTGCGGATTGGTCCAAAATTGGACCATGCTATCGCGGAATCGCTGCCGTGTCTGGTTGGACATTTAGTCCGGCGAGTGCGGCCCGAAATTACGGGAAACGCTCAAAGGTTCACCCGGCTCTCGCGTACGTGGCAATTCCGAAGTGAACTTCGCCGAGCGACTCGCAATTACGCCCTACCAACCGGGAGGCGCGTACGCGTCGATCTTGGAAGCTGGGGGGAATTTTACCCCGTGAAAATTCGAGGAAAATCGAAGGTATCTGCGTTACCTAGGTCAGGGACACGAGATAGTGCCCTAGGTCAAGGATAGGGTCTCAGATCGAGGATCATACCGTAGACGAAAACGGGAATTTTTCCCCGTGAAGGTGGAGGCTGGGCGAAAGATACTGGCACCCGTGAAATTTAGCTTATTTTCCAATTATTTGTCATTTCTATTTACTTTGATAAATAATTAAATTTCATGGGCGTGGGGACCTTTATTGAGGCTTTTACAAAATGCTGGTAAAATCCGAAGCGATTCGGTACACCCAGGTCGTAGAAATGTCCGATCAACGATTGACCACTCGGATGCCACTTTCGCATCGCCTTAATTCCTGGTTATCCTCGATTCCCTCGGTCACCCCCACAATTTGCAATGATATCATCCGTAGTGGAATACGCTTATTCGGTTCGAAGTATCCCGAGAAATTTACGAGTAGGTCGACGGAACTTCCCCGTCTTCCCGGGTGTTCCTCCCCCATGGCGGCCGAAGCGTAGCCCCGGTAAACCATTAACGGGCGGAAATAACGAGGAGACGTTAAAGAGGACTTTACGCAGCCCCGTTAAAGGCACCCAACGGGCCGCAGCGGGAGATCGCGTCGTTATTGAAATTAGAACGTTTAATTTCCACCCCTGTCTGGTTCTTTGCGCCCCTCCTCGAGAAACCTGAAGTCCGACCGGCTCTCCGCGTCGGAATTCTTTCCTCCGACTGAAAATTTCATGCATGAACCCCATCTCGAGGGACCCCCGGAAATGCACCCCGTCAATTGCCATAAACGACGAGCCAACTTGGGGGCGCGTAGATTAGAAATTCTCTCCTGAAAACCCCGAAACCATAAAAACGATTGCCAAAGTTCCTGCCTTCCACTTCCCCTTTATTATGCCGCGAGGCTAGAAATTGCAGAAAAAGCGAAGAAAAACCTCGAAATCAGCCGGATATCATCTATGAAACAGAGGGGAGAGGAAGGAGGGACGATTTGTCAAATCGCGCAGGGGCGCATTACTCTGGTCTGCGGAAAACGTGACCCCGAAAACCTGACGGGGACATCAAATTTGCGGATATCGATGGAGTTGAAAAAATCAGACCGACGAAATCTGACGGCAACCGTATTCCAGAGTGATAAGATATGCCGCACGATTCCTGGACACTCGAGGCACGAGGGGATAACGTCCGTCGTGGTGATAAGTCGCGAGGTCTAATGAAATCTGAAATATTGGCTATAATCGACCGCATATCCGGTCACGCCGAATCGACCTCATAAATGGGAGTATCCAGGAGGAACCTGGACAGAAGGATGAAGAGGTCGGTTTAAAGGAACCAGGATTCGCACGACCATGAGGAGACGCACCGCCATGACGGGGGTGTCCTCGGCGATGCTCGTCGCGGCCTTCATCGCGGGGGTTATCTCAGGATCACGGGGAGCCTATTTGGGGCCAGCTGATCTACAACGGGGTGGACCATCTGCAAACTTCTTCGAGGTGCAAGGGCCATCGTCTGGAGGACTGGGACTCGTCGCTCGTCCGGACTTCGCGGCGCAGCCGGATGCAGGGGCTCAGTCCGATGCTGTTGGTGGACCGAGTCCTGATGCGGCTCCGCTTGCTCTTCCAGACCCAGCACCGAGATTCGGATACCTGACAAAGTCGGTCAAACGTTCGAAAGTCTCGGTTAGGAAGAGCAAACGGTACGGCAGGGTGAGGAGGGCGAGGGGAGGAGTGAAGAAGAAGAGGATCAGGAGGAGGAAGAAGAAGAAGCCAAACGGTCCGGATGGTAAAAGAAGGAATGGCAAGAGAGATAAGAAGAGGAAGAAGAAAAAGAAGGACGATGACAATGACCACGACTTCGATCTCGATAACGGAGGAAACGATGACGATGAGGAGGACGATGACGATGACGAGGGAGGGGAAGAGGAGGAAGAGGAGGAGGAAAAGGATGAAGAGCAGGAACTTGCCGAACGGGAGAAAGAAGAAGAGAAGGTGGAAGGTTACCTAGAACTATGGCAGGGAAATATCCAGAAACCGATACCGACTACCGAAAATTATTTGCGGTATAATGGCAAAACCGATCTGCTAAAGAAGTTGAAGGAAGCGAAAAACGCCTTACTCGACCTTTATAAGATGCAGGACGAGTTGATCTCCGGCTGGGCGGATATTCTGAGTTTTGAAGACCTGACCGAGAAATTGATCCGCTATAATTACCGACTCTCTCAGCAGAAAAGAATAGTACACAGCGTGGGATACTACGACAGCGAGAAGCTCAAGATACGTTAAGGCGCGAAGGGAGATGACGAAGAGGAAGCACCATGATGAAGAGAAACTAATCGCTGAGTGTCCTGTAACGATTTCTTTTTAGACTGGAGAGAAATAAATATTTTTGTGGGAAACTTTTGCTATTTGCATCTGGTCTTACCCCTCCACCTTCCATGACATATGTTTAACTTCCTTGTAGACACGCAACCTAGGTGCGAAGAAAATATTTTTACGCTGGAATCTTAAAGTGTTGTCTCAACGTCCGTCGTAAAAGTAGATTATACATTTGTTATAATACAACGTCCATAACAACGCAAGTTATTTCTGAAGCTCGTGCAGCCCCGGTTTGAAATTAATACGAGATCAGTTTACTTTAAAAATTTTCAATCTCTATCTCACATGTAATTACACGTTTAATTAATTAAATATCATGCGAATTGGAATTAATTGGAGAATCGGGAAACCCATGAGAAGCCTGGGGTAGGAATAAAATCTCAAGTTTCGAGTACCACCAACGTAGATGGTAATTTCGACACGAATTTGTTACATTGTCCTCGAAAATTCGGATCTACCTTTACAGGGCCGACGTCATTACAAGGCCGAATTTGAAATTTTCAAAGGCGATTCTAGTAAGAAGACGCCATTAAAGAGCCGTCCGTCACGACACCTCCCCAGCCAAGACAATCTCCAGGAAAAAAAATAATCAGCGCCATAAAATCCTGGTCTCGCACCCGGAACTAGATTGGAATCACGCCACGCGGGAACGATAAAATCCCGATATCACGACTGATCACGAAATCCGGCCAACAAAACGCGACGGCAGGAGGTGAGTCCGGTTAATCCGAGGGTGTCACGGTCCCGGAATCCGCGAATGCGTCGAAACCATGGGACATTCTAGCATCGTCAGTCTGGCGACCATAGTCCTGGTGGTGGCGGCCAGGACGAGCATGGTGGAGAGCCAGGACTCCGCCGACGACGCATTCGAACGCGTTCGCCAAGGATTGTTATCCAGAAGAAGAACGACCACGACGCCGAAGCCCAAGGTGGAGATTCCCATCGCCATCACCCCAGTCGTGGTGGTACCGACGACAACCCCAGCAGAAGACCAGTGGTTCCCGGGGGTGTTCGAGTCGCAGACCCCGAAACAACCGGAGCAAGAACCTCCAAGAATCGCTTCCTTGCCCAAGCCAGCTCCTCTGCCAGAACCAGAGTGGGTGCCGAAACGAAACGAAGAAGGAACACCTGCTTCTTCGAGTTCGGATAGATCCAGTGGGGGTGGAAGTGTAGGTGCTGCAGGTGCTGGAACAACCATCATACTAACAGGTGGAACGTTGTTGGGGGTAGGAGGAAAGGCAGTTGCTGATTCAGGTGCGGGAATAGGGGGTGGGTTAGGAGGTGGGTTAGGAGGTGGAGGTGGAGGAGGTGGAGGGGGTGGAGGAAATTCCTCCCCTGGACAGAAAGGACAACAGAATAAGAGCGACCAGAAGAAGAAGAAGGACGATAAGAAGAACGAGGAAGACGAGGAAAGGAACAATCAGTCCAGAGACTTGGAGGACCCCGATAACGACGACGAATACGAAGAGGTGGAGGAGGAGGAGGAAGAAGAGGAGCCCCTCTCCCCTGAGGAAGAAGAAGAGCTAAGACAATTCAATCAGAATGTCACCGATTTGGAGGACAGTATGATGGCCCTGAAGCAGGCCAAGATCAGCTGCACCAACCAGATCGAGGATCAGAAGACCCCCACGGCTGCCTTGAGGAAGACGAAGGAATGCTTGGGTCTCTTCCGACCCGAGCTCGGGCTGCTATATGATATGTATAAGCTGGTCAGAGATTTTGTCTAACTTGGTTGTAAATTAATAAATACGGCGCGAGATCACGCGGTTGTCGGGTATAAAGGCGTGTAAAGATATCCCCTAGAAATAAAGAAAAAAAAAAAAAGAAGGAAACACCTAGAGAGACCTCTTCGAGATCGACCAGGAGGACGTTGAAATAAAAAGTAAATAATTCGATAAACGCACCCCGATACAATAAAAGACAGTAGGATCTATTCAAGGATACCCGAAAGACTCGCCCCATTTCCGTGACCTCCCTTTCTCAGGACCCATCCCAAGGTTCCTGGTTCCCGGAGGCGTTCTCCAGCCGGCGAACCGGGAATAATCTACATTCGCGGGAGCCAATCGCTATCGTCAAGCTGCGACGGTGACGGACAGGTTGCAGGACCCTGTAATACCGCCCGAGAGCGGAATACCAGATCAGGTGGGACCTGTAGTTCCTGACGCGGTATACACACCCGGGCACATTCGCCTCTTTGATATTCAAGCCTTATTCTTCCCGGAGCTGCGCCATATTCTCCCCATGCCTCCTCCCCTCCCCCCTCGGCAATCCTTCAGGGACGGCCCCGCAATGCGCTTTCCGCGCGTTTTCCGCGTCCCTCGTCGTGCGTTCGACGGTAGCTTCCGGTTGACGTATCGGCCCGCGAGAACTCGCCAAAGTTACGAGCCATCGCTCCGCGAAACTGCCGACTTTCTCGAGCTTCCGGGGGCAGGGTGGGCGGTGGGTGGTGGGTGGACGTTTCTTCGCGATGGGTTGCAGCTGCAGCTGCACCCCGGCACGTGACGAATCGTCCGATCGGCCATTTTCCCGGCGACATCTTGCCTCGACAGCCTTTGCTCGCGACAAGAGAAATGGATTTTAACGATCTTAGATAAATACCGGGAGAGTTTCTCGGCGTATCGCGCTTTATTACGGCTTACCGACACTTTTACGGCCGAAACCTGATTTATATACATATATATATATGTACACTGGTATCATATTTTATACCGAAGGATTTCTAGCCCCTCGCGTCGGATTCCTCTTTCCGGAGAACAGATCTGCAGCCCCGTCCCGGGGTATGATTTTTATAAACGAATTTTTAAAAGCAGGATATAAAACCCGAGAAATTTTCTTAGGGGTGGATTTACTCAGGGGTAAAGTTCTTGGGAATGTTTGCCGAACGTCGGAGGTGGAGGCAAATCGGAGAGGAAATATATGTATAAATATAATATGCGCGTATGTAGATACGGATATACGAGATCATTCGATTTCGGGAAATGCGGAATATAACCGGGGATGCATTTGCACCTGTTGCGTCGGCCGAACCGAGCGACAGGGGGTACAAGGTAGGTTTTGCCCTCGGTGCAGTTCCCATGGAATCCCCAGGGTGCGAAGGGGAGGGTCGACGTTCCACGGGATTTCCTCGACTCTTCCAGGCTCGTTTCCTATCTCCGTCCTTCGGGAGGAGTCCTTCGGCGCATCGGAGTCCCGGGGAACGGTCGTGCCTATGACGTCCAGGGAAGACGTCTCGACAACTTTGTCTCCCGAGGGACGCCCGCGCACTCGCTTCGGAAAACTTTAATTAGCTCCTCGAATCTTATTGACGAACTGCAACGAAACTTTCGGGCCCCCTCCGCCCTGGAGGATTCGAGGGCAGGATAATGACGGAGCGGAGAAGCGGCTCCTGGGAGTTGCGAAACAATTAATGGAAAAATTCGACCGACCCCCTGGAGGCGAGCCGGACGCCATTTTGTGTACTTTTCACGAAGTAAAATATCAAAATATAAAGAATACCACGCCTAGAGGGGAAGATTGATAATAATAGTTAATTTGTAGGATTTGTCGCCGTCATTTGCGCAACAGCCTCGCGTTCTCCAAGATGGCACCGGCGTGTTCTCCAAAATGGCGCGAGCGTGGTTCCGGGGCTAATGCGTGAAAAACGGACTAGGAGCGCAAATCCCGATATTTCCCGCAATGCCGTGAAATACGCTCTCGGCGCGAGAAGGCTAATTCCACTTGGGCAATAATAATCGTAAACGCGAACTCCCCGCGGCCCTGTGAACTCGACCGCTGCGCGACATAATTTGGCTATTGCTTTAATATACTGCGAATAATTCCAGAGGGGGCCGAATCGAGCTGGCCGGGTTTGGATCGAAATCAGCTGGGAGTGCTCTCAGGGCGAGGGGCAGCACTTTTCGAAATGGCCCGAGAACTCGGATAAAGCCACCCCGAAATCACCTCCCTTGGAGCCCGACGAAATGGTCGCGGAAAAATCCGCGAAAATACCCAGCAACCTGGTTAACCGGGAATATTTCCAGGATCCGAACCACTGGGATCCCTAGGGAATATTTTCCAAAATCCCATTCGTCAGGTCGAACCGAAAGGGGTCGTGTCTAACAATTTTTCCGAGCCGCGTTTACTCGGGGTATCGCCGACTCACCAATCTCTGCGGAATAATTCCGCCATAAGGTAAATCACCGCAAGCGGACTGTCCTGTCGACGGCACTGGTTTGTTTCGCGGGATTTCGGTTTGACTCGATTTTTTCTTTCCTTTTTCTACTTTTTATCCCCCTCCCCCTCGTCGCACAACTTTCCACGCCTCGACCTCGACGGACCGCGCGCGATATTCCGCGATTTTTCTCGATTTTCGCCCCAGAAGCTGACCCCGATACTCGGGGGAAAAAAGGGAGAGAGAGAAAGAGACCAGTTTTCTCGATTTCGAAACGACGCCAGGAAAGGATAAATTCTCCTCGCCCCGAATCGCAGGATCTCACCCGCAACTTCGACTCCTAACCTACGAGAGATCTTATTCTTACGGCGCGACTTTTCCGCAAACCGGGGAAATACCCGCGCCCGGTACAGCTGAAGCGGATCGACAGTCGGCTCGTCGTTTGCGAATATTTACGAAACGGCGGAAATGCCGACGTTTCTACGTCTCCTCGCTCCGTTGGTTCCGCATCCGCGATGCCGCACCGGGATTTTACTTCCTTCCGGCTTTTGTCTCTCTCTCTTTTTTTTCTCCATCTCGTTCGGAATTGCCCGCAAACGTGGGAGGGAAAAACGATTTTCCCGCGGATGCGGAGTTTTCCTGGAAATTCCCAATTTCTGTACACTCCCCCCGATTCGTTGCACCCTTTTGATCCATGGAACATTTTCCGTAAGTACGTGAAAATTAAATAAATGTAATCAATATTCCCAGAAATTCGTGAAAATAGGTACATGTTGACGGTAACTAAATAGTCCAGTCAAATGTTTTCCGAGGGTTCTTGAAAAGTAAATACAAATTTCCAATCATTCCGGAAAATGATAACCGGTTAATGCCATTCAAATGGATGCGTGGAAAATCTTTTAGAGATTCTTAGAAATTAAATGAGAATTTACAGAAATTCCTGAAAATTAATACGTGTTAATGGTAAGTAAGTAGATCAGTGGGAATTTTTTTAACGCGGATTTTTCGACGATTTCACTGTTTTTCTGACCTTTTCGCAAAAGGGTAATAAGGGTCACTCCAGCGCACTGCCTGTTGGACAGGGGTACATATTTCACGTTTCGCTCCCCCATGTGGCGGCCGGTCATATTTCTCCGCTCTTTAAACAAGAACAAGTTGCCGAGAGTGTCCCTCGATGATCGTTATTTACCCTATATCCGTTATTTGTCCGGTGTCAATGTCTCCCTCCCTCGGAGAAGATCGAGCCGCGCGACATTCCGCGGGGCGAAAGTGCGTATTCCGCGCCGAGAGAAATCCGTAGGATTTCCTCCGCGTCAGAGGGAGCCCTCTTCCGGAAAAGCAGGCCAGTAAATCCAGAAGAAATAATGGCGACCTAAGCCCCGGAAATATAGGCTTGCTAGGTCACCCAAGAGACGCCACCTCGACAAAAAAGTCCACCCGAAGAAACGGAGATTCAAACGCGGAATTTCTCCCCCGATTTATTACATAATTCCTGCACAATAGAAATTATTTTCCCTCGATAAAAGTAAACCTGGAATGGTAATTTTAATTCCTGGGAGATTTGTCGAAGGAGGGAAGATTCCTTCCCTGAAAAGAAAAAAAAAATGAAGGCTTAAGGGTGAGACTTCCGAGAGCGAATCTGCGAGGGCGGAAGAGGGATGAGAATAAAGGAAGGCAGAGGGCAGGAAATTCCCGGAATTCCCGGGAAGGGTCGCAAAACCACCCCCGAGGTTGAATTTATCCGGCAACAAACAAAGCTACCGAATCCTCTTTGCCGAAGGATCCCGATCCCACCCCCTCGAGCTCTTTTCAGCATGTCGGCCATGTCGCCCCCCGCGACCGCGATATCCCACTTCGAAACCCTCTTCGCACCCCCCGGAACGCCATAATCTCCCCCAAGGGTCCTCAAAGGGAGTTCCTTTTCTTTCGCGCCCTCCTGGGAATTATTACGTCAGGATTTCCTTCGGAAAAGTGCCTCGCTAATAACGTCAACGAGGACCCTTCTCCGGGACTCCGGGGTAAGAACCACACCCTGGAGGGTGGCTTTTTTAATCCGTAAAATTTCGGAAATCTTTCCAACGGGGAATTGCGAGGTGGAGAACTCGCGAAAGGGTAGAAGAAAAAAATATTAAAAAGGGTGAAGGAAAGCGCCGGAGGATTTTCGCGTCTGGGAATATCGAATCTCGAAAACTCGCCTGCAAATAGAGGCGTTGAAGTCTCCCCGGCGGATCTCAAAGTCACCCCCCTCGCGCCCTTTTCATCTCGCTGCTTTGCTCCCTTTTTAGCGATTTACTCCGCCTTCTCTGTGTAGGGACGTCGTCCTTGTATATCCACACCTCGCCTCCCTTTCACGTTCCTCGGGATGCGGTGTAATCCCCAAAAAGGAGACCCTGCCTGCTGAAAGAAAACTTCTCCTTTTTCCACCCCCAGGATTAGCACGCTTTATTGCGGCTTCCGCCCTTAATAGCGGCCTGATTAACAGTCCCGATAAATTGGACCTCTCGTAATCAAAGAGCGAGGGAGATAAATGTGAAGCGAAATTCCTGGAAAATAAATACGGACAGTTATATATTCCCTCCATCTCGATGAGCTAATGCACACACCCCCGTTTCCTTTTTCCGAAATATAAATCCAGGCGATCTTCTCCGCGTTAAAATTCCCATTCCGAAATCCCGAACCGGAAAATCCTTTTACCTTTTTTCTACTTTCACGTAGGCAAATCCCTCAGAATTCCCCAGCCGTGCCCGGCGGTAAAATTCCTGGCATAGATGCACTCGGTTGATCCAATCTACGAAATATTTGCTATTTAGCAAAACCGGGGGTTGAACAAAAAAAACGCGATACGGTCAGGCGAGCACGTTTCGAATAAAAAGGGAGGAAAACGCGCTCTGCAAAGTCCCACATCACTCCGCCCTGGTACCGGGGGTGAAAAAGTTGGGATGGTGTGGGCGACCACCCTGCCATTTCTGTTTTTCATCAAAAAGACACATCACCACCCCGTGGAAACGGGATGTGCCACTTCAGGGATGCGCGTTAGTGGCCATGGTGTTCCTTAAAGTCCCGAAGACGAAGAGCCACCACTCCTCCCCCCTCGGGGTTGGCGGACCGTAAAACTATTTTTCTCCCGTTCGGACCAAGAAGACACCCTCGACGGTACGACCCCGTCTGTAAAACAGGGTCTGCAAAACAGTCTCGGGATAACAGCCGTCATATTTGAGAGATTCCACCCCCACTTCGCGGAGGGTTAAGGGCTATCGAGTTGTTAACTTCCTCACGGGGTGGCCCTTAGGGAAACTTTGCTTCCGTAATAAACCGACTTTGTAAGTTGGAGTCGTCTAACCAGACGGTCTCGGGCGTCCCTATAGAGCCGCAGCCGCCATTTTGGTACCGCGGCCGCCATCTTGGTGCCGCGTCTGTGGAGAACCTCCACTTATCCGAGAGACGCCGCGTTTTTTCACTTTTATCGTAGATATATATATATATATATTTTTTTTCTCTTTTTCAAGGAACCTGCGAGGTTCTTATCCCGGGTTCGGAGGAGCTCCGGGATCTCGGGGAGGTTTAGGGATTTCATTTTGGAAATTACTCCGGATCCTGGATCGCCCCCGGCGTCCTCCTCGCGGTCGATAACGCCGTAACCGCTATCACTTCTACCACTTAAAAAGATTGAACCAGGACGCTCGAAATGGACGGGCCAAATGCCGCACGATCCTGGCTCTCTTTCTCCCTTCCCGAATTTTCTTCGTCTTCGGCGCGACCGAAATTTAATCGCCTCCTAGGTTATCCGCGACTTTTTATCGCTTTGTAATATTTGGGGGAGTCGGCCTCGCGATATCCAATCGTAAGGCAATCTTCTTCATTCTCTGGTTTATTCTCCCGGGTACTTCTATTTATTCCCATCCCCGTTTCCGCGTTTTAAGGCGCACTTCAACTGGCGCAATAACCTCGGCACGAAGGCGGATTTAGCGTGCTAGTTGCAGTACCGATTTAGTTACCGCCGAGCTTCCGAGCCACCGCCTGCTCGTCGCTTCGCGGACTTTAATTTAATTAAATCGCACAATTGAATTAAATAAACAAATTGCTCGAGTGCGTCGAGGCTTGCCACCCGACCGTCCGAAATCGGGTTTCCCTCGACGAGCGAAGTTGCTCTGGGAGAGATGGATTTTTCCCCGGAAAATCCAGTCGATCGCATTTTTTTCTAACGTTTCCACTGAAGTAGAAAATTCATCGGTAAGGCATTCCTTTGTAAAAAAAAAAAACATCCAGAAGTAACGTTTATGTATTTATAGCGGACTTTTCTAGCTCCCATCGAGGATCTCTCAGGGGAGCGGCGATTGCCGAAGAACTTCCGGCACCGATTTCGTTGACGAGCATAAAGTTCGATTCTTTCCTCCGGGTCGCGAGACAAACAAATTCCCCCGCTCTCGCTTCGACGTAAAATAGGAACGATTTATCCGGATCGAGCCGAGCCGATACGCTTATCCTGCGATCCGACTTTAAAGCGAACGTCAAGTCGGGATCCCGGCGCGCTAAAGGGCCGTCCAAACGAGAAAGTCTCCATTCGGGCGGAGGAAAGCGAGACTTGGGGAAAATCGAGGAATGCCTCGAGAAACGAGAAAAGATCGAGACAGGGTGAAGGAAATATGGGGAGGTTGTAAAAGCTCGATGGAAATCGACGAAACATCCGAGCCGGTTTCGACGTTTCGTCTTGTCTCCCTCCCAGAGGCGCCAGATATAAAAAAAAAAATATATATATGGGAAACATAAAACTCAACCAGGTATAAAATAAGGGTGGATAATTAACGTAACCACATATTCAGCCGGACTTCGATACTCAGGATTTTCTAGTCATATTAATCCGGACACTTTCTCGATAACGATAATTAGAAATAATTTAACCAAGTGCGTCTAGTAAGATTAACCGGAGAATTTTTTTGAGCACACCGAAAAACAGGGTTACAACAAAAAATAGAGAAAAATGGTAAAACTCGAACGGGAATAAAATAAGGGTGGACGATCCCCGACTTCCAGCTCTGGGTGGAAATTATCGGATTCCAAGGCCCTCGAGCTCTTTGCTCGCCGAGGCGTCTCAGGACGAACGAATCCCCGATGCACAGATCGCTGTTCCGTAATGCAGACTTTCCGTACAGCCAGACACTTCAGCTTTGCCTTCTTCATCGTTTGACTGCGCATCCCCCTTTTACTCGACCAGGGAAACAAAGACGGTCGGACGAGAGCGGGGGGAGTCTGAAAACCACTCGGCGAGGGTTTTTCACCCGCCATTAACCGCGCCATCTTTTTTTCCAACACCGACTCCATAATTCTCAGGTCTCCATAATTTTCTCCTCCGGATTGACCACGGGAAAAACATGCCGCCCAACTTCCCAGGGCGGACGCAATTTAATTTAACTCGATGAACCGCCATACCCCGAGGGAGGGGGTGGGTGGCCCCCCTAAATCCACGCCTCAGCAATTCCCCGATAAATTAATCCGACGCGATAGTTATAACATTAATCGAATTAAGACGAGCCCGTAATTAAATTAGCATTTCGCACAGGTCAGGGGAAAAAAAAAAATCCCCCAGCCTCTCTCAGGTATTCTTGAGCACAATTTGCAACGCGTTCGCCCCCCCCTGAATATTTTACAGGGCGCGTTTCCGGCATCCCTAACGCGCTTAATAAATTCCAGGACTCGACGGGCTTTCGGAAAAACTGCTCTCGAAGGGCTCGTTAGACCTCGCCCATCCCACCTGCGTTCGCCGATCTGGAGGCCCTGGGGCTCGGCGAAAAAATGCAGAAAATGGGACAAGAGGGGGGGGAAAAAAAAATCTAGAATTTTCAAAAATCCCCAATCCCTCGGGATACGCGAGACGAGCACCATCGGTCCCCGGGAATTATCGCATTTAAGTCCCGTTGAATATGGATCGGGCTCCTTTGCATAGTACAAATACACCACGTGGCGCCAGTAGAAAGGGAATAAAAAAGCAGACCGCGGGCAGGAGCGAAGGGAAAAAAAATAACAGGGCGGGGGAGGCCCTTTCCAGCAGAGGGAAAAAGAAAACGCGGCGCCGAAACGGAAAGCGGGAAGGGAGAAAAAAAATAAAAAGAGGGAGAGATCGATCGGCTCTCGGGGGGCGATATTAATAAATCCGACCCCCGGCACCGCCCATGAATATTACCCCGGTGATATTTTTTAAAGGCCACCCCCCGCGTCCTCGCGAAAGGGAAATTTTCATAAATTACCCGGATAATGCCTCCCGATAAATCCGAAATAATTGCCGGGGTATCGGCCCGAGGCCGCGAGTATCACGGAAAAGGGTGGCCGCCTTGTGCAAGAGGATGCAACCCTCGACCCACCTGTCGGCGGGGTACTTTATATTAGCCGCTTCGACGCCGCGGAAAACGGTGTTAACAGAAGTTACGCAGCCCCGGGCCGTCCGCAAGGTTTTCCGACGTTGCCCTGAATTTTCAGAATTTTTTTCAATCTCAATCCTATCATCAGGTCCCTCAAAAGAGGCCCCAAAAATCCCGGATTTCCGAGGAGACGTATAAATATTTTTTAAAAAGCAAAATGAGAGAGAGAAAATGTAAATGACCGCGATTTTCCATGTTTTCCTCAGTTTTCTCATATTCCGAACGACCTGGGAAGGACTCGCATCCTAGAAGAAAAGGTCTCCCCGCAAGCTCACCGGCTAATTAAGTCAAGAAACGCGAGAGGGAGTTTCGCGCCCCCCAGGGGCTCGCAGGGGGTTGGAGCCCCCTCTTCACCTCGGACAAAGTGACGGAGGATCTCCCCACCGGGAATTAAGAGGGAAGTATCCTCCGGGAACTCGAGGAATTCCCTTTGGCACGACGAACTAAGGAGCGCCGGGGATGAGGGAAGGATTCGGGGGGAGAGAGCAAAGCTCCGAGCTTTAAATTTCTATCGGACCCCTGCTCGAGGGGGGGGCAGGGCGCAATTACATTTCCCCCCACGGGACGCGAGAGCTTTCGGAGCTCAAAGCTCGCAAGGCGAGTCGCCTTTCCTATGAAGCTCGAAAATGAGGGAATTGGGATAATTAACGTGGTGTCGACTCGACAGTCGACGTCCCGGTTTGTTAATTGGTTTCGTTACCCGGGATAACGACGCGATTCGAGGGCCGAGCGATGCTTGAACCTTGACCTAGGTTCGGGACGAGGAGCCTCCAGGAGAGAGAAGATGATCAACCCGGTCTCCGATACAGCGTCCACCCTGGGGGACCTCCCTATCGGGTGGGAGGGATCGAAGCTTTAAATTTCTATTGGATTTCCTCGAGAAAGGTGAGCCGTATGCAATTACATTCCGGCTGTGCGCGACGCGATCTCGCACGGGTTCCAGTGCTCAAAGGACGCGAGTAAGTCCGAGGAGCTTTCCTTCTTCTCTTTCTTTCCCCCCTGGTGCGCCTCGAAAAGCATCCCCAAGACGTTGAAAAATTAACGAAGATATATTTACGATCGCATGACCTGCACCGTTCAAATTATTTCAATTATCTGGAAAGTTAAGCGGCGGAAATTTATGGGCCAATTGTCAATTTTCCCGCCGTTTAACGAGGAAGTCCCTCTTAAGGTACGACTTACCGTCCGTTGTTGGAGGTTCTGAACCCGGCAGTGCATGTAGACGTCGGCACCGAGCTGGACGGTGATGTTGCCGTCGGGGTCCTCGAAGTAGGGCCTGGGCTCGGGGGTGGCTCCGGTTTCCGTCGCGGGACTCTCGTCGTAAACCTGCTGGACACAAAGGGGTCCTTCAGCCAGCCGACACCTCGTCGGCTTCTCGCTTAATAATGGCGGAGGTCCGACTTTGGACCTCGGAAACCTCCCGAGGGAGCGGGTCGGCACGTCCCGGAAATCTCGACAAAAGGTCCTATCTCTGGAACCGCCGGAAATTAAGGACAAGGCATACGTTCTCGCTTTGGCGACCAACGGATGTCTCACCCTTCGACGATTCCTATCTTTCTTTTTTTTTTTTCAGTGGAACTTCTACAGACTGGATATTTTCCTTTTCTCGATAGATACCGAAAAAATAATTATCGGGATTCGATTTTACGAGATTATCGGCGCCGAAAGGCACCCTCTTCCTTACCTCGGTGAAGGGCGAGCTCAGCTCGTGCAGAAAGGACGGGTGCAGGTTCTCCAGCCCCAGCCTGGAAACTGCAAAGAGACGAAGGGTAAAAAAGGAACCAAGGGAACGTCAAAGGCGACCGGTTAGAGTTCCTACGAGGCGAGGGCGAAGTTTGCTCGGCTCTCTAATGAAAGCCGGAGCTTTGTGTCAGCCCGCGAGCTTTCGACGAGTGGATCCTTCGAGGCGATTGCCGCAGAGGGAAGATTCCCCCCGGAAGAGGCTTCCTCCAGAAAGAGTCTTAGAAAGGAATTTTCCAAAATTCTCTCCCATCTCCCTCCCCCAAAAACCACCAAAACTTTATAGACGGGATTCGATATGGATGGATCCCTGTTCGATAAGCCCCAATGGCGGGCGTTCCGGACAGGGCGTGAAATGGAAGGGTTGGCTTGATGGGGTGGCAACCCCATTTTCCCCTAACAACCGCGAAACGCGAGCTTTGGACGTTACGTACAAAATCCATTTTTTTTTTCCCTACCGACGTTTTATCGGCTTCGAAAATCCAACCTGGAACTATATACGCGTTTTATATTTTCCTAATTTTTTTTTTTGTAACGCGGTAAAAAAATTCCCGACACGAGAAACCGTCCCTCCGGATTGAAAAATGTCGCGTTCCCGGAAAAAAGGGGATGCGATTTTTCTGAGAGGGAATTTCTCCCGGGAGCCGGACACTGCGGTCCAGCATCCGGTCTTGCGATCCATTTTGCGACCATCTCACTTAGGCCGGACCTGAAGTATTACTCGAGCCCTCCCAGAGCAAGGGGTTGAGAGGTTCGTTAGTCAACCGCACCAAGTAGTAACCCCAGGTGACGAAATTCCGCCCTCGTCGGCCCGACGGCGATAAATTCCTCGACCGCGACGCAGAAGTATTGACCACTCGTCCCTCGTCGTCGCGTCGATGAAATCAGTCGATACTTCCCCCGCCGACCGCATAGGGGATGAATTTAGCACCTCGCGTCCTCTCGCAAATTCGCGGCCACGAATCGTTCTCAAAATCCGCGCCGATTGGGAATTAATAAATAAATCTGCGCTCGGATCGGGGAAATTCACGGTGAGGGAGAATTTTGAATTTCGAATCCAGAATTTTCGGGCGTTTACGAAAGGAGAGGAATTAAATGTGAAAAAAAAAGGGGTGATCGATGGATTTTCAGTGCATCCCCAATATTGTAAAGGGCGAACTCTGAATTTCTGCGAAACTTGCATCCCACCCATCGAGGTGTCCTTTTCATGCGTTTTCGTGAATAGAGAGAGGGGTGGAAAACACCTGACTGGTGGTGGAAAAGTACGGAGCGTCAGCGAAGATGAAACAGCGCCGATCCGTGACACGTCCTGGATAGGACGAAAGGGTGGAAGCAACGATTTGGGGAGAAAAATAAATGTAAACGAATTTTCCTGGAAAATGGTAGTCCTTCGTTGGAGAAAATGAAGGATGAAAACAGATGAAAAGACCGGCACCTTTTCGAGGAAGCTCCAGGGATGTCCTTTTAGAGCCCGCTGGATCGATGGGACAAAATGAGCTATCCAAGGATCAAGGACGAACCACCTCGGCAGGACCTGCGAAGGATCCAGCGAGGATCTAGGAGAAAAATCCCGAAAAGGGTGAACATCGGGAGATAATTTTCCTCGGCTGATCGTCCTGCGCCAGGACACTTTGATCCGGCTAACAGTCGTGGCGGAAGCGACAGGATAATCCCCTTCGGAAATTTATCAGCCCAGGCGAAACGAAACGTCGACTTCCACGGAAAGGAAGAGTCCTTTAAGGACGACGTCTCGCCTTGACTCAGGATTCGACAGTCTCGAGGATAAGATCGGACAGATACGAATTTAAAGGACTCTTGCGAGTTCTAGAAAAACCCATTCTAATTCATCCGAATTTAGGATGAACTACTCCTCTTTCTTAGAAAAATGGAGAGGAAGGATCCTCGAGTCAAAAGGACATCGCCGGGTGCGGATGGCTTGAATCGATGAGTCCTAAGAGATCGAGTTGAGGAGAATCCAAGGACCTCCCGAGTTAGGCAGGAAGGAGATATCTTCGGGGATCTCGAAAGCAGGTTCCCGGGATACTTTTCTCCCCTTTGCATTTTAATCCCGAAATTATGGTCTTCCCGATTCCAGGACGACAATGCTCGCGGTTTGTCCTAAAGGCGTCGAATTTATGGAGCGCGTCTGGTCCCCATCCCTCGTGCCCCTTTCACTCTCTCCCTTCTGGAACCGTCCCTGGATTTATGGGAATCCGATGACTTAACTGGAAAATCATAGGGCTTTGTCCAAATCGAAGTATCCCCCTTCGCGAGAAAGCCTCCACCCTCTTCACCCTCTCGAGGCGTTCACCTCGAAGGGGCGTCCAAGCTTTTTCCTTCTCTCCCTCATTTTCATTTTTTCCTTGAAATTCCCTCTCGACGCTTCCCCTCCACATTTGTCATACGCTCACTTCGAAGGATCCACTTTCTTTAAAAGTAAGAAATATGACTAGACCGAGCAAAAAAAATTCCCATGGTACAGTTCCTTTAACTCCTTTCGAAGAAGTCATTTCCATGGAGGAAAATGTTTTTCTCGGTTCACTAATGAGAAAAAAAATCCTTACCTGGCAGACGATTCGCCGCTTGGGCCGCGTGGACCAGGTGAACCAAAATGGCGGCCACCAGGGCCGGCGGAGCTCTCATCGTGGCCGCCGCTCCTCACCTCATCTCCGTGGGGAAAATCGGTCCTATCGCCTCTCCTATCGCCTGCAACCGAGAGAAGACAAGTCCAATCAGTCCCGGTGCACGCAATCGGCCGTCATTTCGCAATTACCGGAATATTACCGGCCGCTCCCCCGGGGGGAGGAGGCAGTGGGCGGCCTCCGTGATTGTGCAGCTTAAACTCCCGTTTTGGGTCATTAGTTAAAGTCCACCGCGACGACAAACAGCCCGTCGACACTCCCACAGGATCCCCAGGGACCCCACCTCGAGTCCCCGATTTGCCCGAAACCGGCGGCAAAATTTCGACAACTCCAATTAACGATTGCAATTTAATTATAAATCCCTTCATTAAGCTAGCTACGTAGGAATACATAATGGCGACAATTCCATCCCGATCTAGCCATACCGTCTTAACATTGCAGATTAATCGCAACAATTCGTCGTTAGAAAATCACGTAGCCATCTCGAGTACCTTCCGAGCCGTCGATTTGAATTTTTAATATTTCAATTTAGGATCTAAAATCCAATTTCAGGAAAATTTTCGGCGACTCGCGGTTCGCCCGGAAGGAACGAAATTCTCTTTGGCTTCGAGAAAAGGTCCCCGCCGATCCATCGGCAATACCCATTCGCGTTAACGAGTCCATCGGAAAGTTTCTCCCCACCCCCTCCCACCCCCCTGGTCGCCTCGCGGATAAGCAATCTCGCCGGGACGGTTCGCGGTTCTCTCGCAAAACTTTCCGAATTGTCTCACTGTCCCGTGCAGGTGCGGCCTCCTTGAGCTCCCCTCCCCCTCTGCACCTTTGAGAAAAGCTCGATTCGAAAGTTCCGAACGAGACGAACCCTTCGACGAGAAGGGGGGGATGGGAATTACCAGGAGAAGATGGACCGGAAGCGGGAGGATCGAGCTGGAAAAAGGGGAGCCGATAGTGGGGCGATCGAATGAATAAAACAATCGATCGACCGCTTCTGGAGACCGTGGGCTTAATAATAGATTTACACCGGGCAATGCCGAAAGTGGGTCGGAAAGAAGAGAAAGGGGTAACGGGGCAAAGAGAGGCGGGAAAACTGTAGAGCCCTCGAGACCCTCGAGACCCTCGAGAGGGCCGGAAGTAGTTTGAATAGCCTCCAATTAGAGTCGAAAACAAACTCGATCTCTCGCCACTGTTGCGATTGATCTGCCGGGATCGACGGTCGATCGAGAAGGGAGGAAGAAAGGGGGCGAAAAGGAGCCACCCCCTGGAGAACCATCCCAGCTCCGGAAACTCACTCCATCCACCTCGAGTTAAACTCGAAAATTCGAGATTCCGAGAGTTAACCTCCAAATTTTGAGATGAACCGAGAAAAAAAATTAAAGGGAAGTTTAAGGGAATTTATGGACTCTGTGAAATTTTTTTCCGCGAAATTTCTGAGACGTTCCTTGAAGACGACGTGAAGCGAAGAGGGATAGATATTCCAAAGAGTCACATGGGGAAGAAATGATATGTAAAAGGGATATGGGAGTCGCCGGGGGGAGGAAAGGTACAGGGAGGAAAAATCGAAGAACGAAGAAGAGGTTCCTCGAAAGACGTGCGCGAGCTTTCGAACCAACTTCCAATTAAACCGGAAGCCAAGTTTATCCCCGGCCACTCTTCCGGATATAGAGGAGGAAGACTCGATCGATGACCGCTTCGGCGATCGTGAGTCTAGGGGGAAGGAGAAATCGGAGAGGAGGACAGGGAGGGCGAGTCCTGGACCATCCTCGAGAGGACCTCGCGAGGACTCCCAGGAGCTTTAAACTGGAACTCTGGACCGGATGCTCGTGAAACGAGCTACGTAAAATCGGCATAAAGCCGAGGAGGGGTATGTCCACCCCGGGAAGTCCCTACGTGACCGGCGAGAAAGAGATTTGGGGTGCGACCGGTCCCCAAGGGTCGCGACCAGCTCCCGAAGATCCTTTTCTATCCCCATGGACCACCCAAGGGTGGCACGGAATTTTCCATTTATCTCCGCGATGTCAAAATTCGAATGACAAAAGTAAGCCGAACGGGGACAATTGGGCGCTTTCGGGGGAAACAGGAGCAAGGACCTCTTCAGGATCCGAGGATCTCGTCCCTGGAGGGTTGGACCGGTAAAGGAGCATCCGGAACCGGGGAACTATAAGGAATCACTGGTGAGAATCCGTACCGGTGAACTTTACGTAAAACTGACCGCCATTCCGACGGGCAAGTGGACCCGGTTATTTAAATCCGGGATTTATCGCGCCTCAAGACGAGCCCGGCTGCTCGGAAAACCACCAGCCGTTCCCGAGGGAGTTCCAGCTTGCAGGATATCTAGGATGCCGTCCAGGACCGGGATCCCAGTGGCCGGGCCTTTCCCTGTTCCCCGGAATGCCCGAGTCCCGGTAGGACGTATGTACACATGGTTACGTGTACATACGTAGACCCTCTCACTTTCTCGCCGGCGAGATGACCAAATTTGGCTGGAAATTTACGTACTCCGGAGGAGGAACCTTCCGGGGAGGGTCTTCATCGAGCAAACGTCAACAAGATACATGAGCAGACACAAGATCGAGTCGAATCTCTATCTCACAATTACGGCTAATAATTGCACTTTTGCAAGACCGAGAACAGAACTGCAAGGCGAAAACCGATTTCCCTTGTTACGAGTCTATGCGTTTTCTGACACTCGATTTCAGGGAGGATCGTAGGTAGGTTAAAAGGGGAGAGAGAAAAGGATCCTTAAGGCCGTGGTGAAACGACCGGGTCGAGGAGTAAAGGGATATCAGGTCGACGTGGCACCGGCAATTTCTTCAAAAGAAAGGACAGAGAGGAGAGAACTAATTTCCCCTCCCATGTTTCACGCGTTCCATGCGACCGGCGACTGCACCGCGAGAAAGGGTCTCTCTTGCCATCTCCGCAAAAGGGTTAACGCACTCACCACGCGCATCTGGTGTCTGCATCGCTCGCCGGGAAAAAAACCCCGAGCGACTCCCGCAGGATGCGACTCCCACGGGCCGACGTCGCGTTTCCGTGCCCCGTTTCAACCGAGTTTTTCCCGACCGTCCCCTACCATGGAAAAAACCTGATTTGTCTCCTTCTTGCGTCAGGGGAAAACAAAAATACCCGAATGCACTTTCGACAAGGTGCAGTCGCATCCGCTGCACTCCTTGCCGATGCACTCGTTCCAGGGACCGCGTAACGACGGCCACATCGCTGTTCCTCCCAAGCAGGACCTTTCTATCCAGCCCCGGTAAATAAAGGACCCTCGACTGCACTGGGCAGAAAAACGTTTGTGCATTTTTCCGAAAACCCTCCACCCTTATTCGCGCCCCCGGCGCCGCGTCGAGGTGCAGTCGGAGCTGGTGCCCATCGTTCCTGCGACCGCGTAACGGCGCACACATCGGCGCAAAACGAAACGGCGCTGCAGGTTACTGCCAAGCAGGACCTTTCCGGGCAGCCGCGGTGAATGCAGGACGCGCGACTTCACCGCCGAGGGAAACAAAAGGGACGATTCGAATCTGCCGTGGCCATTGTCGTCGACGTCGCCGGTCGTTGTTCGCGGTCGCCGGTGCACGGCGCGGCCACGTCGCCGTTGGCGGGGCCGTTGGAAAACGGGAAGCCGTTACGGTGAAAATCCGCTCGAAAAACGGGCGAAGCGACATCCCCGTAGCGATCGACCGTCGATTCTGGGAGGGGGAGTTAAACCACCCCGTTGAAATAAATTCCTTCGACGATCCTCCCTTCCGCGAGTATCATCCCTTGATCGAGGGACGTTCCGAAGTGCCCACGGAAGCATTTCGAAAAATATTTTCCCCGAAGGACATTTCCCAAAATCGTCTATCGGGAGTCGAGCGGCGCAGACGGGGCCGCGAGAGGAGGGGGTTGCAATTCCGACGGGGTGGATTAACCACCCCTTTACACTTTGTAAAACGACTCGACGATTGTCCGAATCGGCCGACACACCCCCGGCTCTCCTGTAATCCCGGGTAAAATCGAGGGCGGACACGAAAGGGGTGCCTAGGCATCCCTATCGGCTCCGTTAAACGAAAAGATCGTATCTCCGTTTTTTACCGTTCGATGTAAATTCGACGCCGCGCTGCAGCTGGAGATAATGTCGAAAAGCGGTCCTGTAAGAGAGGCGGACAGCGCCGAAAACAATTCCAGGCTGTATCTACCGATCCGGGGAAATTCGACCTGGAGGGATTAGATAAAAATGGAGCCTGGAATAAAATAATCCGACTCCGGAAATTGAAGAACCAGGGGATGTTGAAATAGCGCATTGTTGTACCTTTTCGAAAATCAATCGTCTCTTGCATCAACAACCGGCACTGGCTACCGATAAATGGGAGGCCGACGAGTGCGCAACAACGCCACGGCCCCTGTACTACACAACCATAAAGTAGGCGTCGCGACGCCGCGCCGTGTAGCGCGTCCACCCTCGATATAGGGGAACAGGGCGGCCAATCATGGCCGCCAATCACCATATAAGCTTTGTGGCGAGAAGAACCATTAATTAAACCCCCCATCGGACGCGGGGCCAAAGCGTAGGGTGTCGAAAAAGAAGGCGGAAAGTTCAAAGAGAGGTGCACCGTCGCACCGGTGCATCAGCAGTTATCCTCCAGGTTCAGGTATTGGGTTCCGCGATAAAGGCTCCGGGACCAAACGATTCCCGGCAGCGTCGTTATTCCGCGTGCCAATAACCGTATCCTCTCCGCTCTCATAGTCTCGGTCTGTTTATCGACTGGGCCGGAAGCTCCGCCGCGGAAAAAAGCCGCCTCGAGGAGTTCAAAGCTCTCCGGGCTCGCGTGCATCGCGATGCATTCCACTTAGCGTCCCGCCCACCGTCGGCGACGTCGACGTTAACGACGACGTCGCCTCCCAGGAACACGGCCGTTCCGGCCGAACACGCGGCTGCGGCCTCGCGACTTTTTAACGAGGACGTATGTCGCGCGAAACGCGACCCGATATGCGTTCTCATTAGGGGAGCGGAAGCGCGTTTTCATT